TGCCCTCAAACTCATAGTGATCCTCCTGCATCAGCTTCCCAAGTGTTGGGATTATAAGTGTGAACCATCATGTCCAACTTTTGAAAGGGGATCTCATTATGTTGCACCGTCTGGCCTTGAGTTTCTAATCTAAAGTGATTGTCCTGCTTCTGCCTCCAAAGGGCTGGGACGACAAGAGCATGTCACACCCAGCTCCTTGGTTTATTTGCTAAATGCTCCAGTTCAGAGACTGCCATCAATAGTGAGGCTGGGACTCTCCATTCACACTGGATTCTCAACTCCACTTTCATCCCATTTCCTAAACCAGCTCTGTCCACTTGAAGCACTATTGAACAAAAGCACCTGCCACAAAGTGATCTGGTCTCTCAGCATGGCCATGAGCGACGTTCTGATCTGGTCTCTCAGCACGGCCACGAGCAACCCCCTAGATCAGGCTGCCCTGTAATCACGTCTTGATCATTAAGTGATGTGGGAGGGGAGTGGGAGTGAGCTAGAAAGTAGCGTTCCTGCTTCAAGTTCATGTTTGAGCTCTTGACTTTCTTAACGACGGACTGTAACCTGTAAGCTGAAATAAACCTTTTCATCCCCTAATTGCCAGAGAGTTTTATTAAGTGCTTTCAATGGCCTCCAAGTCCCAGGTTACAAGGCCCCCATTCCTCATCTCAGCCCCGGCACAGCACTGTCTACTGCCCTTGGGTGACAAGATGGAAGCCCAGAGAAGCCATGCTGGAAATGCTACACCTGGGTCACACTTAGCTCCTCTTGCCCCACAGCTGTCCCCCACCCAACCTGGTGTTCCACAGCCATACCCCACCCGACCCAGGAGCTCCACGGCCATCCTCCACAAAAGGCTCACCAGTGGGAAAGAGAAAGAGCCACAGCAGGAAAGGACGGGATGGTGAGGGAAGGGGACATGTGGGGAAGGGGCAAAAGTGAGGGTCCACATGAGGGTCCAGAGGAGAAGCACTGGGCACCTGACTTTGGGGTCCAGAAGCCCTTGGCAGGATGGAAATAAAACAGGAAGGTTTGCTGGTGACCACTGAAGAAGCAGGCTACCATGTATGCGGAAGCCACTTCCTGTCTCGTGGGAGATAAACAACAGACTCAAATAAATCTCCCAAAGCTATCGGCTATCTGAAGCACCCTCACAAACTGATATTCTCCATGAACACTATCGTCCAAAATGGTCATTGGTGTCTCGGGACAGGGAAGGTGGGAAAAGGGGCTGAAGAGGGACATAATCAAGTCCTCCAGACCAGCCTGTGACAGTGACCTCTCTGGACCTTGGTTCACTCTAAAGTGAAAAAGGATTAGAAGTTTCTGCTCAAGCCGGGCGGTGGTGGCGCACGCCTTTAATCCCAGCACTCGGGAGGCAGAGCCAGGCGGATCTCTGTGAGTTCGAGGCCAGCCTGGGCTACCAAGTGAGTTCCAGGAAAGGCGCAAAGCTACACAGAGAAACCCTGTCTCGAAAAAACAAAACAAAACAAAACAAAACAAAAAAAAAAAACAAAAACAAAAACAAAAAAAAGAAGTTTCTGCTTAAGAGCGCTCTTGTGGTGACGGGGAGAGACAGAGAGACAGAGACTTTCTGACAAGACGGAACAGCAGAATCCCAGCTTGACACTTTTGCCATCGAGTACTAACCAGGCCCGGCCCTGTTTAGCTTCTGAGATGAGACAAGACCAGGCGCGTTCAGGGGGGCACGGCCATGGCCTCTACTCAACACTTCTAACTGAACCAATAAGGGGCACATGCCTTTAACTCCAGCAGAGGCAGGGGGATCTCTGTGAGTTCAAGTCTAGCCAACACTACACAGTGAGACCCTATCACAAACAAACAACTTCTGAGAATCAAGTTTCCTGGGAAGATTCGGTGCCTGGGGCCTTGGGCAGTGATTTCCACACAAGAAAGCCCCTTTTCAAAACAAAGCAAGAGAAAGCACTTGTGGTCCTCACCCTTGGCTGTTAAACCTACTAGAATCACCACGGAAACAAGTCTCTGGGTGTGTAGGTGAGGGATTACATAGATTAGGCTAATTGAGGTGTGAAAATCTGCAGGTAACCTTGGGCAGCCACATGCCCTGGGCTGGAGTCCTGGCCAGCTGAGCACTAGCACCCTGTGACCACTTGTGACTGGCACCAGGATAGCTGCTTTTGTGAGGTATTTTGTCACACCCACAAGAAAAGTTGTTGATAATACAAACCAACAAAAAGAAAACCTCTAAACACACACATAGGCAAATCCCAAGAGTTGCCGGTTAAACCCCATGATGATGTCAAAGACTGTATTTCAGGGAGATGAGAAATGACTCCAGTTTCAAGAAAGAACAACCCCAAAGTCTGAGAAAAGAAGGTGGATAGGCATGAGGGGAAATCTGTACAAAACTAGAAAACAAGAACATCTGGTTTTAGGGGGAAAAATCAGGTCAAGGGACAACACAAGCGAATTATAACATGTAAGCTGGGGGAGGTAACGGTTAAAATGAAAGCAGCCTGCGGTTCTGTATTATTTGGGAGGAGGGGAAACACTGGTTAATTTTAGACTTTAATGTAGCTGTTAAAATATCCGGGGCAACCCGTGAAAACAGGTACAAAATACACAGATTCTAATTAAGATAGAGAGCAGATCAAAGAGGAGACCAGTTCAGAGGAAAGACCAGAAAACTTGCAAACATATTCGCATGGTACCAGCGACCCTAATTCATGGTTAAGCCATGCAATGAATCTTTTTTCTAATGGTTTTTCGAGTCAGCATCTCAACCAGTAGCTCAGGTAGGCCTTACTTGGAATCCTCCTGCCTCAGCTTCCTGAGTGCTGGAATGATAGAAATATGCTAATCTACCAGGCAAGACAGAAAATAACCAAAGTCACACACCAAAGAGCATTGCCTTAAATATATAAAGTAAAAACGTCTACATTGCAAGGAGCAGTTCAAATCCAATGAGACATTTTAACACATTTTTCTCTCTATTTTCGGGAGCTTGTGGAGCTGGGGACTGACCCTTAGGGGTCAGACAAGAAAACTACCACCGAGCCATGTTCCCAGCTCACATCTCTTTCAACAACTAACAAATTAAGCATACAGAATCAGGAAAGGACATAATATAGATGATCTGAACAGCACGAAGAACAACTATGTCTTGTGTGGTGGCTCATGCCTTTAGTCCCAGCACTTGGGAGGCAGAGACCAAAGTATTTCTGAGAGTTTGAGGCCAGCCTGGTCTATATGGTGAGTTCTAGGCTACACAGAGAGACCCTGTCTCAAACACAAGCAAGCAAACAAAATCAAAACCCAAAGTCAACCTTATTGTGTTGATCATGTAGACAAAACTAAATGCAATAATAAAAGAACACGTATTCTTTTATGAACTTATAAAATATTTTTAAAAAATTGAAGAGATTATACATAAAATATAAAGAAGGATTCCACAAGAATAGTTCAATACACACTCCAAACTCTCTCAGAGAATCTACTTTAAGAAGAGAGAAAGATAATCTAGGTCTGTCTGTCTTTCTCCACGCCCCTCTCTTTTTCCTCCTCTTCCTCCTTTTATTTTCTTCATGACAGGCTCTCACTATGAATCCGTGACTGGCCTGGACACCACCTGCCTCTTCCCCAATCGCTGACCCCACAGGTTATGCTACCATGCCGGCCACAGCCTTTCTTTATCTCGAACAGAGGCAAGAGCCTGTCTCAGTGAGTGAGGAATGGAAGACTCTTGAGGATGATACAGGTCGAGGAAGCTAGTGACCAAGCAGAGCCTGGAATTAATGAAGTAATGAAGTCCCTTCCAACATGGAGAGGACGGAGGGACAAGATGAGTGAGTGACATCAGTGTCTAGGAACGATCTGTCTATCCATCTATCTATCTATCTATCTATCTATCTATCTATCTATCTGTCTGTCTGTCTGTCTGTCTATCTATCTATCTATCTACCTACCTATCTATCTATCTATCTATCTATCTATCTATCTATCTATCTATCTATCTATCTATCTATCTATAAAGTAATATCATGAGGTACTCCTTCAAATTCAAAGCCTGAAAGGTGAGTCTGAGGCGCCAGGCAGCAGTGAGGGACCATCAGACAGAAATTACAGAGACGCAGAAGCAGTCCCAATGTTAAGAAGAATTTTCCACCACGTGTCTGTGATGGTCAGTCTTTACTGTCAACTTGACAACACTTGGGATTACTAGAAGCAGACTTCAGGGTTAAGAAGGGTATCGTATCCAGGGAGTTTTAACTGAGGAATGAAGACTCCCCCTGAATGTGGGTGACACCATCCCACGGGCTGGGGTCTCAAAATAAATACACAAAGGGATGTGAGTGGAACACCAGCATTCAGCTCTCTTCTTCTGCTTCCTGACTTCAGACACAGTATCCCCGGCAACCTCAGGCTCCATGTCTTTCCCACCGTGACCGGCCTTACCCTTCACAAACCGGAAAACCTGAACAGACCCTTCCCTCCGTGTGTGGCCTCTGTCAGGCATTTTGTCACGACAGGAAAGTAACTTGTCTTCCACTTTTTGTCTCTCACTGGCCTGGAACTTTCCCCAGGATTCTACACTAGTTCCTGAGCAAGCTCCAGGATCGATTGGCCTGCCTCCAACCCCCAGCTCTCCATCGCTGGGACTATGAGCGCTTACCACTGTACCTGGCTTTTAACTCAGAGTCCAGAGTGTTTCACCTATTAAGCCATCTCTCGAGTCCCAACATAAGGTGTTTTCTGTGTTTGTTCGCCAGTTTTCTTTTGAGCCAGGCTCTCACCTTGTGTAGCCCTGGTTGGCCTGGACCTCCCTATGTAGACCAGGCTGGCCTTGAACTCAGAGATCTGCCGGTCTCCTAAGTGTTGGGATTAAAGATGTGGGCCTGGCTGTGCCTGAGTTTTTAAGCCCACCCCTTCCCCAGAACCTTCCATTCTTCCTGCACACCATGAGGGCGGAAAACGGTACATACAATTTGTTTAAACGAAGCATCTGCTTCCTCGAAGCGAGCAAGCTCACCTTGACCTCGGTAGCGGCTGGCTGCGTTGGGGGCCTGGCTCTGGGGGCTTCTCCTGCGGCTGGCCAGTCATGCTGTTCTCATACTGCTGGGCAGGAGGGAGAAGCGACCTGGGTCCGAGGGAAAAGGACAAGGCAGGGTCACTTTCGCATCTCTCACTCCCACATCACCATCATCTGGCAGAGGCCACTGTTCCAGAAGCTTCCCTCACCCTCCCATGCCCTGGGGAAGCCCGTTGGCAGGCACACACCACAGACCTTCACCAGGCTGTGCAGTGTGTCCAGGGGACCCTGAGGAGGAGGCCACTGAGGTGACTTAGATGAGGTCCTCAAAACAGCAAGACAGAGTTGAAAGGGGGCTGTGGCACTACAGAACAGTACCCCTCAAGCCGTCTGCATGAGCTCCAAGTACTGTGACACAGTACCCCTCAAGCCATCTGTGTGAGCTCCAAGTACTGTGACACAGTACTTTTCCAACCGTCTGTGCCTAGCTACAGGTGCTGTGACACAGTACTTCTCCAATTCTCTGTGCCTAGCTACAGGTGCTGTGACACAGTACTTCTCCAACCATCCGTAACAAAGGACATTGTTACATTGTTTTGCATCTTCATTTCTAAGCAGTTGACAAATACTTTTCCAATATATAAGACAAATTAACTGCTAGAGAAATGGAAAGATACTCAAAGACAAAGCTTTTTTTTTTTTTAATTATTCAGTATAGCAGATTATTGTCGAGTGGATGTGACGGTTCCTAAGTGTCTACTCTCAGTTTCTGGCTTCCTTCATGGACTGAGGCAGGGACACCGTCCTGGCGAGTCCTGTTCCTGGAGCACAGTTGTGGAGCACAGCCGCACAGACACCTCCCTGAGGTCTGGCTGGGGTCCTGGTTCAGAGAAGTGGGAGGGGCTAGACATAAGGAGTAATTTCAAGTCACCCCCTGGACTACGGAAAGTTAGTTCTGGGGGTCTCTCTCCAGAATGAGGAACCACAACGCCAACTTTGGTAAAGTGTCTCCAGCCATCTGGAGCTAGGCACCATCACCCACTTGCCAAGATCAGGAAATGAAATGCAAGCTCCTCTGTCCCCCAGCGCCCCTTTCACCTTCCCAACCTGGGTTCAAGTCGCCTCTCAAGTGAGAACAACGAGACCTCTATCACAGAAAGTACATCGTTTTCAAAACATTAAGAGGGCCACTGGTGTTCATTCCATTTAATGCTATAAAAATGACCCCTGTCTTGTGGGTCTCACATGAGTGTGTGGAGGCTCAGGACTGACGTTAGAGTCTCCCCTGAATGCTCACTTACTCACTGGACAGGGTTTTCTGGTAAGCTCAGAGCTCGCCATGGACCAGTTGCTACATGGACCCTGAGTCGGTGTTGGAATTACATGCAGGTTGCCACGCTCACCCAGCATTTATAGCACTAACATGAGTTCTGGGGATTCAAATTCCTGATCCTCATGCCTGTGTGGCAAGCTCTTCAATCAGCAAGTCATCACCTCATAAAAACAACTGAAGGAAAAACAACAACAAACAAAGCCAACCAGGAGCTCTGGCTGCTCTCACGGAGGATGCAGGTTCAGTTCTCAGCACCCACATGGCGGCTCACGACCCTTTGCAACTTAAGTCACAAGAGAACTGGGACACCCAGTTCTGGCTCATGCCAGTAGCAGGCATGTACACAGATGTAGGTAAACACAAATAATACATACAGTACACACAAAATTAAAACAAACAAATATTTTAAAAATTAAAATCAAATATATTTATTAGATTTGTATGCATGCGTGTGTGCACATGCTCATGGGGGGTTGAAGGAGTCACAGTTGACTGTGGCAGTCAGAGGGCAGCTAGCAGAAGTCATTCTCTCCTTTCACTATGTGGGGCCCAGAACCACCTTTACGTGACCAGCCATCTTGATTTAAGAAAGAAAAAAAAATCAAGAAACCCTTTGTTAGTGACAGTCAGCTTAGAAAGAGAAAAGAAAAGAAGAGAAGAGAAAAGGAAAGAAAGAAAGAAACAAAGAAAGAAAGAGAGAAGGGGATGGGGAAGCCTTCCATGCCCCCTGTCTTCACGATTACCTTGTGCCTGAGGGGGGCATTCCAAGCCCTTCTCACCCATCCCAATACTCCAGAGCAAATGCTCAGAGCTTCCAACGTGTCTGCTTTTAAGCAGTTCTTATTTTAAACTTTAGAAGCAGCTAGCCCTGAAGAAGAAAACTTCCCCTTTCAAAGGCTTGTTTTCTTTTTAATGCAAACACACACGCCCTCACTCCCCCATTCTAACCTAAAGCATCTGCAATTTTGGAGTTGGCTGCTCACGAAATTCTATCAAGAGGCTCGTCGTAAACATTCCTATGGCAACGGAAGTTTTTGAAGGCTGTCTGTACCGCTCCGGAGATGGTACATCATTAACTCTGAACGTCGGCGAGGAGATGGTTCTGGGGGAGACATGTTTGTGTACAAAAGTCGAAACAGCTATTGGCATCTGAACAGTGGGCCTTATGGGGAGCCAAGAGATGGCAGAGGGGGAAGTGGGGGAAGGCTCAGTTCTGGGGAGCTGAGGAGTCAGTTCACAGCCCCTATCCTGGGCTCCCTGTGGACCACAAGTTCTTGGAAGGGCTTGTCTCTCAAGTAAGCCTTGAGCCCAGGCCAGCAACTCAGATTGTCATCTACTGTATGTCAGCCTTGGGGTGCCCCTCTAACTCCCTAACGATGGGTTCATCACAGAGACTTAAGGGAGACATAAACAGCTAGCTATGGGCTGAGGTTGGGGGGGGACTCGATAAAATGCCCACGGCACAAGTTCACCAGTATCTGTACACACATGTACACACATGTGCACACACCTACACTAACAAGTACACACCCCACATACAGAACAACACACACACACACACACACACACACCACATACAGAACAACACACACACACCTCACATACAGAACAACACACACACACCTCACATACAGAACAACACACACACACACACACACACACACACACACACAAACACCCCACATGCAGAACAACACACACACACACACACACACCTCACATACAGAACAACACACACACACACACACACACACACACACACACACACACACATCCCACATACAGAACAACACCTCTTACCCCAGTTTATAAAAATGTCCAAGACCAGATAATTACAATTGCCCTTTCTTACTAAGATGAAATGAGTGGCTGGAATTAAGGGAAGGGAAATTAAATTAACTAACGCAGTCCACTCAAGCATCCGTTCACTCGGGCAGCGGTACTAGTGACTGATGGGCAGTAACAGAGCCGGGCAGCAAACACCTGCGTCACATGAGACCATCTGCCCTGACTCCAGGAAGCTTACAGTCTGGTGTCAACGATTCAGGAATCAGAAACAACAGTGATGGTGGTGACCGAATGAGGTGCGGCTGCTGCGGTACTAGACCAGCACAAAGAAGGGCTGGCAGCGCCTTCTCCAGGAAAACGAGCCACGTGAAGCAAAGAAGAAAGGATGCAGAGGAACCGTGCTGCAGTGTGGCACAGCACAGCGGTCGGCCTGTGCAAAGGTCCTGTGGCGGGAAGGATGTAAGCCGTAAGCCGGTTCCTGGCTTAGTCCCCAGGCTCTAGTCTCTGTGTCAGTCAAGGCAGGCACTCAAGCTGTGCGATTTTCGTTGCTTGTTTGTTTTTAATTAGTTCCACCAGGCTACCTGGAAGAAATCAGGAACTATTTATGCATCTCTGCTAACTCCTCCCTCTTCCTAAGCTGGCACAGAGTATTCAAAATAGGGGCCACTTTGCCCTCCTCCCAGCGTATGAGACTCCTGGGTGAGCGAGGGCTGTTCTTTCCACACCACTCGTCTTGGTGAACTTCAGTTTGGCCAATGGTAAAATCAGTTGGGCAGCGCTGATGTAAGAAGGGCATGGGTGTACAGGCCGAGGTTCCAGGAGGTGTCCGTTATTAAACTTACTGCTGGCCCGGGGGTGTAGCTCAGTGGTAATCACCTTGAGTACACAGGCCCTAGGCTCAGTCCTCAGGAAAGCAAAAACTTAGGGCTGCAGGACCCTCACGCGTCTGTAAGGAGGAGCACCCCGACTCATGTACAGACCAGGAGTGGTGAGGCTAAGAAGACCCGACTCCAGTCTGGCCCTGCCCCTCACTGGCCACGCAGCCTTGTTCCTCTCCTAGAGAGAGACAAGGGTCCCATGAATCAGGTCTACACTGAGCACACTTGCTGTTCCCAACAGGCCCTGGCAATGGGGCGACCATGATCCTCTCTTGATGTGAAAATCCAGAGGAATCCACAAAGATTGCCCAATCAGGCCTTGGACAGCTGTGCAAGGCCCGAGGTTGGTCTCTGTGACTGACTCATGGGTTCTTGGTCGGTCTTCAAGGATTCACAGCTACCGTACTGGATCCCAGAGTGATACTGTTGTCACTTGGGGACTCCACCCAGGGCCTCGGGGCTGGGGACCTAGGCACTAACTAGGTCTAGCCCCAAACCTATCACTAGTGATTAGGGGTCCGGGAGGCAGGCATGGTGACCGGACTTCCACCTTCCAGGAGCAATGGAGAGATGTCTCAGTCAATAAAGCTCTGCTGTGTGAGCGAGAGGACCCAAGCTAATCCTCAGACCCCCAGGGAATGGTGCGGTGTGGCATGTGCCTGTCATCAGTGATGGGGAGGCGAAGGCAGGAGGGTCCCTGGGGCTCACTGGTCAGCCAGCCTAGCCTAATCAGACAGTGAGAGGCCCAGTCTCAAAGCAAACAGATAAAAATACAGCAACCAATACAACAAATAAGATGGGTGGCACCTCACCTGAGGAGGAGACACTCGAGACTGTCCTCTGGCCTCCACACACTCTCACACCCACACACACACACACAATCGTACACACCCCTGAATCACTACTGAGGTCACTAGGACATGAACATGGAAGCCAAGACCTGGTGATTTGCCCAAGTCCACACCGAATGGCTGAGTCCAGACACTCAGCCCTTCCTCTCGGCCCCACTGCCGTCCCTCCTCATGG